GACTTAGATGGTTCCAAGACCCTGTCATACAGCAAGGAAAGTAAAATAAAAAAAGAATCACTGAAGGTTTTGTTGGTCTGTTTTAATTGGAAGTAGTGCCTTGTGTTATTTTCTTCCTATTCAAGCCAACCTCAACATACCTATATATTTTCTAGTGATTTCTGAATCTGACATCTGGCAGGTTTGTGGCTGCTTTTTTAGTTTCCTGGCCTAGAGTATTACTCAAATCAGTACAAATCCGTAACTTTAAAACTCTGTTTTAGGGACCAAAGCATGCTGAGCTATTTTCTCTTTTTATTTACTTTAGAGCCTAACTGGTGTTTTAATTTCATTATTTGCACTACGATAACATGCACTGAGACTTTCTGTAGTAGAAATGAAAGCATTCAATTTGGTCTGCCATATACATCCTTATTCTCCAAACTCTCCCACTGCTACTACACTGCTATTTATGAAACTGCTTTGAGTGACCACAGCAGAGCACTCATATACCCTTAGGAAGTCTAATATCAAATATGCTATAGTTTTCTAGGGGAAAGTAGAAGACATAAAGAGAGGACTGAAAATTGAGCCTAAAACCAAAATCTAAATCACTATATACTTATGATTAGAGTTCTGGAAGCTGTTATCCACTATCACTCTCTTAGAACTGTCAACTTAGGAATATTTATTATTAGAAAACTAAAATGTAAAAGAACCTCACCAAAGACACTGGGTGTTTAGGTCATTTCACCTGTTCTGAAGGTAAGAAAATGTCCCACCCAGTCTCCATTACCAGTAGAATAAATAAGTTGTATTTTCTTCCTACAGCAATGACCACAACCTGGGTGACAAAAAGGGAAATACAGGAATACTGATATACAAAGAAGTGATACTTTCCAGTATCCAGAGGTGCCCACTGTGCATGCTTCTCTTCCATAAGATGGGCATAAAAGTCATTTGCCACACTAAGGAGACTCTTAAAAATTTGGATGTTTAAAATAAACTTTAGCAAATTGACAAACCTACTTTCTTCTCCATCATTTTTAACCTCCTATTCCTTCTCTTCACTCTCCACGCTATACACCAACACCCCCCCTCACGCACGCACACACACACACACACACACACACACACTCATTTACACGTACACTAAGTCTCTGGGCTAAATAAACCAGGATGCCAAGAAATGAATCTTCACCTTTCAATTTACAATATTTAAGAGATACCTGACATCACTGATTCTACAAAACTCTTCTGTAAACAGCAAATACACCCTCTACTTTTCCTCCTCAAATTTTCATACAAAATCCACATAATTGATTTCCTGACCAACATCAGAGGACTGGTAAATAATGATATACAATATAGGCAAGATGATCTCTGCAATAGTAAAGGCTGGCCTTCAATTTTCCACACTCTCCATTCTCTTCACTTTACCTACCTAACTGCATTTAATGTCACATTGTTGGTTTCTAGAGTCAACAATGTTCAGATGTGTCTAGATTTGCACACTAATGCAAAATATGGCCCCAGATAATTACCAAACTTTAAGAGCTCAACAGTAAATCCACATGTAAATGATGTCAGGGCTACTATAGAAGAAGGAGACAGGGAATACTAAGGAGTCTACAAAGTAGAAACTCTTGTATTGTTTGCAGGAAAATCATGTGGGTGATCTTAGCTTCCCAACTAGGCTATGAACTTTCTGAGGGCAGAAGCTACATCTTATATTTTGGGGGGATCCCCATGGTTCCTGCCACACTGATGAGCACACACTAGATAATCAATCTGATCTAATTCCATGATGATAAACTTCAAAGTGAGACGGAGGCCTGTGAGTAAAGCAATTCTGGCTCCTCTATAATGACAATGTGAGTAAGCCCTGCAACTGATTCTGTCACTAGTGAAGGGACTGGATTTGTCTCAAGGTATACCAGCAGAGGAACCTAATGTGTAGAGACCATTGGTCCCAGTCTGGAAAGTAGGAATGTGACATTTGCTCAGAAAAGTGATGTGATCTTGAGTTGAAATGACCTGTTTATTTGTCTGTTTCCTGTTAAGCTCCCTGGGGTGAAGGATCGAGTGCTTTATTTTTGTATCCCCAGCAAGTACTACAGTGCATGGCAAATTCACAGTGTGTGTTAAATGCTACTAGGTTGAATTAATAAAAAAATAAATTAAAAGAACTGTTTAATGAAATAATATGAGAAAAAAACAAGTGACATAAGATCTAATGCAGAGATTTCCATGGAATCTTACTCATCACATTGTAGCACTAGTCACTATAATTGATTAATAAGTGTTGACTTTGGGGATTAATTAATTAATGAGGAACATATAAAGAAAAGGCAGGAAATATATCAGTGTATAATTATCCTAGGAAAGGCGAATATCCGATAGTACCATTTATCACTCCATATAAGTCACCTATCTGTTTGCTTGTGTTTGCCATTACAATGTGCATTCCTTGAGTTCAGAGACCACTTTTTTAATTTCTCTAACACTAGACACTAGAGCAGAACCTTACAAAGAGTAGACACTCAAAAAATATTAGTTCAATGTATGAATCAATCATTCCTGCTCTTCTATAGAGTTCACTGTATCTCAAGTATTCTACATAATCCATGTTGAGGATCTTCTGGTATGGAAAGAAAAAGAGAAGTGTCATTTTCTTCATGTAGAACTTTGTAACAAATGCAGGTTAAATTGCCTGATTCATGCATGGCTGCAAGTAGATCTCTCCTCTTTCCACTCACAGGGTGGAAAGGGGAAAGACAGGTTTGTCAATTGACACTCTCCAGGACCACATATTAGAAATACACAATTTCCCTCACTGTGTCTTGTATATATTGTCTTGGCCCTGACTAGCCCTATATATGAGATCTGTATGGTTCTGTTAAATAAGAAGAGCATATGGCTCTGTAGTCAGGGTAAGATCAGAAATCAGACATTTATTGGCTTTTCTAAATAATTGAAGCAATACTTTGTTTCATTCTGCCATAGGAGAATTTCAGAAAGAACGCCAAAATCTTAGGTCAATCATGCAGATACAGTCTTTTGCCCTCTCCAAGTATCTCATACGCACCTAGGCTCATGTTTCCTCAGTACCTTGAATTGACTGCATAAGTAATCACCAAGCCCTCAGGATTCAATCCTTTTGTCTATCTCCATCAGCAACAGCAGTCAGCACCTAGACCCATGACCTTTTATCCCCATTGTTTAAATGTCCAACATAAATACTCTAAACACACCACTTTGTAGGTTTTACCTATATAGAACCAGCCTAAATTCTTCTTTGGTTGTAAGTGCCTAGGGAGTCACACTTAGGTGTACAGGCCAACACAACAGCGATTCTCCAATTATTTTCCTATTCAGAGGTCACCTGAGTGTCAGACCCTTTACATTATGCAATGTCATATTATTCCTTGGACCAACCTTGCATGATAGATGTACCCATTTATAGATGAGGAAACAGAGACTCAAAGGCATTCCATAGCAAGAAGTGTCCCCCAAACTCAGAATCATGGTCTGATTCTACTACATAGCACTATCTCTCCCTCTTCATTGCTGAACTCTTGCTAGTCCACAAGTTGTCCTCCTAAAAGTCTATGGTCTAGGCCCTAGACCATACAATTCACTGACATCATAATTGTAACTGAGACCTACCTAGCATAATACTGGATTTTCAATAAATCCTTATTTATAAATTTACAGATTGAAATTATTGGTGTTCTTGCCGGCAGAATATTGTCAGTTATTTATTAAAAGCACAGCTATTTGGGCCCATAATTCTAAGGAGAATTATTTTTCAGAAACTAGAAGAATCAATTGATGCAAGTAGTCCTTAAAAACCTTTTGAAATTGATACAAATACTATTAGGTCATTTTACCTGCATCATAGCCCAGGTATGTCAAGCTGATCACCAGAGAATTATAGAGCCCTGTGATCTAATTCATTCATTATCTCTCTCTCTCTTGCTCTGTGAGTCTGAACAAGATCCGTAGCATCTCTGGACTTCCATTTCGTCATCTACTGAAGAGCACTATATCAATATACCTTATTGTGAGAATCAGAGGAGACAATGGTTGTGAAGGTGCTTCAGTAAATGTGGAAGTACTTTCTAACTGTGCAGTATTCCTTTTATTATTGGCCTGGAAAGAGGTCATATGCCTTCCAGTGCATCAAATTTTCAACCAAAGAGGGACTTAAGCAATTTATAGAAAAATAGAATTAACTTAAAAACGGTTATTTATAGCCCTTTACTCAGCCACCCACCCACTATCATTCACATTTTCAAACCACTACCCTATATATTTTAATAGACAGCAAACACTGGAACTAACAGTGTTTTTTTTTTTTAATGTTTCCATTTGAAGAAAATCATTCTCAGTGAAGGGAAACAGAGATAATTCAAATGCAAAGTTAATTCCTAAATTTTTCATTATTAGTGACAGTTTTAACTTCCTTGCTTGTTAAATGATGCCATAAGAACTGCCAGGAAATGGCAAAGTGGCTTTTGAATTTTTTTATCCTTCCTTTAACAGCCCATTCAAAATTTTGGCAAAGCATGCACATGACCAAAGAAAAAGTGAAAGGAGTCTTTAAGGCTGAATCACTCTCACACGGCGAAATTAGTCCCTGAGCATTCTAGGCTTCATCCATTTTTAATACCACCGTTGACAACTTTCCTGCCACTTTAACTGGAATATGAGTACCACTGGCTGGCAAGCATGCCATGTTTGCAGTGGGTGGGGCAAATTCATACTATGCCAGAATACCATACAAAGATTTTAAAGTCTCAACCCACTTGAGCTCCCACTCCCAACATGCATCCCTACAATATGTTGGGCTACTTTTTGCCCCAAGAAGCACTGGTAACTTCTTGGGGCAAACCTTGATTATGGAAATGGGTTTAGGCAGATAATTTCTTCCTACTCCTGCCAGGGAACGTGCTGGTATAGAGACCTATGAGGAAGAGCTTTGGGTGGACTTCACAGAGCTGTTTAGCTGCACTCACCTCAGGCAGAGGCACACCATTGATTATCAGATCTGGCTGCTGGGGGCCCTGTGTGTTGAAAGAGTGGTGATAGATGTGGCTGGTGCTGGTATTGCGGGTATTCTGGTTCTCTATATTCAGGAAAGTGCTCTCAGAGCGACGGCAGCCCAGGGGCAGTGTCTGCTGGTGGTAGTCGAAATAGTTGAGAGAAGAGGTCAGGGAGGAACAACTGACAACGTTCATCTTGTCTGTCTCCTCCACATCCCGGGGTACCAGGCGGATGTCATTCTTACTAATTTTTTTCTTCTTGCTTGACTTCTTTTGATGCCCATAGGAGTACTCAGCAATCCTATATGACAGAAAAGGCAGAATGTATCGCTAATGTCCTCCCAAATTATGCATTGATTAACATTAATGCACTCCATCTCTGCTCCAGCAGAATTCTTATTCACGTGCATTACATCATGGGGTCTCTCCCTGTGATTTTTTTCATTCAAAAACAAACTGAAGGACATAAAGTTTTCATGTAAAATATAGTAAGCACCCACTCCCCCGCCCACACAAAAAATTCAGTACTTTGGATTTGAAATTTTCATTATGAGTGGCCATTTATTTCAGCAAGAGTTGGGAGATGGAGAAAGTTGAGGCTATGGGAGAGAAAGCTTGAATGTTCAAATCTGGAGCTTCCCTGGAACCCAAAGGAACTCCTGGGTGAACCAAGAAGCAATTTCTAATTAAGCCAAGGAGGAGGTAGGGGAAAATAAAAAATAACACTCTATCCAGTTCCTCCAGGCATTTGCCATGTGGCCAATACCTTCAATTAGGTTACTTTATGATTGACCTGATGAGTTTTGCACTAGGGTAGGAGACCAGATTCTGTCCTTAGACACATCCTGGGCTTCTTTCCTCCACACCTTCCTTCCCCTTCCATAGTTCTGCTCCCTTCCACTCCCCACTCCACCTTCCCTCTTCTAAAGAAATGTGATAGCCAAACCCATTTCAATGAGGGGAAATGCCTCTTTACCTCTTTCCCCTTAGGCTCACTTTCTCCTCAGCCTTTTTGTCTTGCTCCTTGCTAATGGGAGAAATCAAGATGCAATGCAGACACCTGCTGTTTTGTCCTTTTATAAAACAGCCCAGGAGACAAGTGATGGTTAAACAATTACTGCAAAGGAATTTAAAGGTTAGTGCATTCAGCATCATTTTCCATTCAGGTGTACCTACCAGCAGCTGTGCTGCAACTGGAACATAAAGAGCTCAATTTAATTAACACTGACACAGACCTAGAAATGTGTACCCGAAGACACCAAGCATTAAGAGACTCATCAAAAGAAATGCATTAAAATGTAGCCAGATTATCAAAATTATTTATTATTTTGTACACAATGATTTAGCCTGTTCAGAAATTCAATTTCTGGCCGATAATTAGCAAAACAATAGGGTCAATAAATAACACAGGTTTTGCCTGTATTCTCACTCAACAAAGCTAATTGAATACAAAAAGGAAGCCCAATTCAAGCAGCAATTGCAGATTATTTTGCAAGTCTCATAAATGAGTGCATCTGAGGAAGAAGCTCTGCAGATGCTGAGAACATGAAACCTCTGCCGAGTAAATGGAAAGACAAGCTCTTCAATTTCAGGTTTCTAAAAAGTCTGAGAATACAAGGAGATTTCATATCTCCAGAGGCAAATTCTTGCTTTTTCCTGGGATCTTCCAAGAGCTGAGCAGCTGTGTTCCCCTCACCCTTTGGCACTGTGTTCAGGCCTACTTGCAGTGATGGCAAGCTGATGCTACTGGAGCTTAAAAGCAGATAAAATCCCAAAGACCCCCAGGACGAGGGTTGATTTTCTCATCTAATCTGTTTATAGAATCAATGGGAGGTTCTAATCATTTTGTTTACCCACAATGGGTAAGTTTGGCAATGCACCATCCAATTATTCAACTGAGGCATTCATTGGGCAGACTTGTCTGTATTGACCAATTATTTAATTACACTGTACTTCATTAATCCCAAACTATCACAGGGAACAGAGCTCTTTAGAAAATCACATGTGAGTGAAGTTGGAGAGCACTGAGACTTTTTTTTCAATTCAAATGCTCTTCTCCCTGTTTAATGATCTTCCTGGCAAGCTCTAGGAAAGAACTCTTACTTCCAGCCATACATCATCAAGAGGTAGCAAAGACTTCAATATTTGTATTTCAGACTGAGTTCTTCTTCATCAAGGAAAGGGTCTTAAACATTTACTTTATACTCAGAAAATAACTTTAAAAGAGCCCCCTCTATGATTATCTCCATATAATAAAATTTTATAGACCCCACATATTTCTCCTATAAAAGTCATCACTGGCAGTTGCAGGTTTCAAAGGTAATAGCAATATTAATTTCCATGTCTCCCATCTAAAATGAGTTGGAACTGAAGGAAAGAAAAGTCACTACCATTTCAGTAGTAACAGGATTAAAGCATTTATGAGGCTTTGCAGCTGCTCTTTTGTGGCACCTGATTGATATTCATGTGCGGTTAGCATTTGTCTACTAACTTGTGTAATGCAGAGAATAGTAAAAGAGAAACAATAAGTGTATGAATGTTACATATTCAGGTGGCTCTGATTCACAGAAGTGTGCATTTCAGATGTGTAAAATAGAAATCAGACCTGCAGGAATGTATTTTGACTCATTAACATGCAAGCACAGATGGCATAAAAGATACAATGGATATGTAGGTGGGTTGAAAGCATGCACACACACCTTGGTTGGAAATAACAGCATTATTTCATTTTCAGTAAACTAAAGAAACAACTTTTTTTCAACCGTTTCCATGGAACTGCTAGAAAAATTAAATGTATAATCATAAACTGAATTCTAGAAATACTTAGATTCTAATTATAAGGAAGACCGTCAGCAAGACCCTCTAATATGCTTATCAGAAAATCTTTTTTAAAAATTATGTGTTATTACAAGTTCCACATTTATTCTCTCTCTCTCTCTCTCTCTCTCTCTCACACACACACACACACACACACACACACACACACGCACGCACATCCTACTCACACTTCAAAGAAAACTGTAACACAATAGTCCATAGTGACATCCACTGGTAGGGAGCAGATCATAATACCACAACCAGTCCCACAGGAGAGGAAAGCACCACCAACTCCAGAAGTTTTCTATTTTTACAAAAACATCTGGATGCAAAGTCCTGTCCCTCATGAGAATGTTTGATCTGTACCCCACCAACCAACCAGATATTTGAAAATACACAGATGGCTGTTAGAATTTCATTTTACATTGCCAGATATTTGGGAATTGGATACAAAACAAGAAAACACTAATCACCTGCTTCCCCACCCATTCCTGTTCTCTCTTCTCCCCAACTCTGTTTCCTACCTTAGACTTCCACTCACAGGCTTTCTTCACATTTTATCTCTACCATATGACAGGGCAGCTGCTAGTACTCCCTCTCCTTTCAGCACCTGTCCTCAAAACACTGTCCCCCCAAAATCAAGCTGTAGTATTTGGTGATTCTCCTGAACCTCTCTCTCCCTCCACCCCTCAGTCTCTCTCATTTTTTTTCTGCCACAACTTTCATGGAGACAGCTGTGCAAATTTTAAAATAATTGTTTTTCTGCTCATCATCATTACGTGACAGAATCCACTGAATAGTAAATAATTATCTTCCAGCAAATTGCCAGATCAAACGAACTGATCAACGTGGACTGCCAGAAACTTTCCCCCCTCCAAAAAAGAAGCCCTGTAGGCACCATTCATGCACTTAAGTGGGAAACAAAAGCAGTGGGATTTTCACACAGCGACGCAGATACACCTTAATCAACCAAGACAAAAAAGAAAAGAAAGAAATTTGGCTCTACCTGCAGTTGTAGGTCCGGATCTCTTTGTTGTCTCGTTTGCACTTGATTGCCACGAAGATCATAGTGATAAAGAGGATGCCAGCAATTGAGCCCAGGGCAATAATGAAAATCAGAGACAAGTTCACTGAACTCATTGACTCCTGAGCGTCCAGAGCAGGGGACAGGTAGATTAGGATGAGCGCAGAAGCGGACAGAGACGTCTTGCCGTGATCGTGGGCCACCACAATAAGTTCATAGGAAGGCTTAGAGCTCTCGCTGAAGGTGCGAGTGGTTCTGACCTCCCCGTTGGCCTGGTCTATTTCAAAGAAGCCGCGATCTCCCTCTGTCATGTCGTAGGTGACCCGGCCGTTCTCGCCCTCGTCGTAGTCGTCTGCTTTAAGGACAGTCACCAGATAGCCTATGCCGGAGTTGCGGGGAATGTAGACTTCAGCAGTGCCATTGATCAGTGGTGGGGCCGTGATGACTGGGGTATTGTCATTGACATCGAGAATGATGACCCGAACCGTGGCGTTGCTCTGCAGGGAGGGCAGACCGCCGTCCTTGGCCAGAACCTTGAATTCGAATGCCTTGGTCTGCTCGTGGTTGAAGGACCGCAAGGCGTAGATGTCGCCAGAGTTGGGGTTGATAGAGACGTAGGTAAAGACAGGCATGTCCCTTACTTGCGATGGCACTATCTGGTAGGAGACACTGCCATTGAGACCCAAATCGGGATCTCGGGCAGAAACAGAGAGAAGATAGGCGCCGGGCGTGTTGTTCTCCTGCACAATTACCTGGTAATAGGGCTTGGAGAAGTGCGGGTGGTTGTCGTTCTCATCCGTGATGCGCACAGTAAAGGACTTGGCAGTCTGCAGCATGGGCACTCCGCCATCGCGCGCCTGGATTGTGAGGTTGTACTGGTCATGCTGCTCTCGATCCAGCCGTCCGTCCACCAGGATAGTAGAGAAGCTCTCGTACTCTTGCAGCCGAAAGGGCACATTGCCCAGCAAACGGCACTGCACACGCCCATTGAGGCCAGAATCTCGATCAGACACCCTCACCAATGCAATCACGTAGCCCGGGGGGGCGCTCTCGCTCACCTCCACGAGCTCGCTGTTGACCGACAGCAGGTTGATGACCGGTGGGTTGTCGTTGGTGTCCAGAACACTGACAGTGACCTTGCAGTGTGCTGGGATAGAGTTGGGCCCCAGGTCCTTGGCCTGCACGTCCAGTTCATACACATGGCCCTCTTCATAGTCTAGGGCACCAGTGACCGTGACGAGGCCACTGTGGGGGTCAATCTGGAAGAGCTCACGAGTGCGGTCATTAACGTAGCCATAGAAGGAGTAGACCACCTGGCCATTGGTGCCCTCATCTGGGTCGCTGGCATTGAGGCGGATGACGGGTGTGTTTGGAGGCGAGTTCTCTGGCACACTCACCGCGTAGGTGGACTCGCCAAATACTGGGTTGTTGTCATTGGAGTCAGTCACCTTGATGCTGAGGCCAACAGTGCCCAGGTGCGGAGGGTCGCCTCCATCAAGAGCAGTGATTCGAAAGCTGTAGTGCGACTGTGTCTCACGGTCCAGGCTCTTCTCTACCACGAGTTCAGCAAAGCGTGAGCCATCGCCTCGCGTCTTGATCTCCAGGCCGAACAGCTCATTAGGTGTGAGCTCGTACGTCTGCACACTGAAACTGCCAGAATCCGGGTCGTAGGCGCTGTCCAGAGGGATGCGTGTGCCAGGGCTGGCTGCCTCTGAGATCTCCAGCTCTATCTGTGCTGCAGGGAAGCTGGGCGCATTGTCATTCAAGTCTTTGATCTCCACTTTAATCACGCATATCTCCATTGAGCTGGACATGACTTCCAGAGAGATGATGCATTTGGGGCTCTGGCGGCACAGCAGGTCGCGGTCGATCTTCTGCTTGGTCACCAAAAGGCCGGAGCTGGGATTGATGTCCACCAGGTGCGGAGCCGAGTTGGACACCACACGGAAAGCAGAGGCTTGCCGTGGGTCCAGCGCAAAGCCTGCTTCGCGGGCGTCCTTGGCCACGTTGGCGATCACCGTCCCGGCACGCTGCTCCTCTTCTACTGAGTACTTCAGGTTAATGAGGGCGGCCGCCTGAGTCCACAGGACAGCCAACAGCAGCAGCACCGGCAGCAGGAGTGACTCCATGGCTGCACGGGCCTCTGCCTGGCCTCGCCTTTCCACACCCCTCCGAGGCCGACGCCGCCGGCGCTCCAGCTTCCCAGGGTCTCTGGCTGCCTGTTGCTCGCACCCCGGGGCCCCGGAGGCCAGGGGAAGAGTCCCACCCGGGGCAGCCCCGCAGCGCGGGGGGAATACTCGCACCAGCTCCAACGCTGAGGTTTCGGTGGACTCAGCGGGGACTCGCTGGGGACCTGGGGGCTCCGGGTGGCCGAGATAGCGCCGCGCAGCCCGGAGCCCCCTTCCTGCAGCCTGGCTACTCAGTGTTCCCCCTTCAGAGTTAACCCGGCGCAACTGACCGCAGCAGCGCAGGGCTGCGGGGCGGATGGCCTCAGAGCAGCTCGGTTGACTCTCCGCTGAGTCCGAACTGCACTTGGGGCGAAGGCGGGGAAGACAGTGAGAGTGCAGCCTCACAGGCACTGCCCTGCCGGCCGCAACGCAACAGCGCTGAGGCTGGCTAGCGCGTTGTCTGCGCACCTGGCATGCGCAAGGACTTCGCCGCAGCGCTCCTGGATTACTGCGGGGAGGGGACCCGCCTGAAACGCGTCCTTTGGGGTCTGAGGGGGCCACACTGGCCTTTTACAGAATGGTTGGAAAGAAAGGGAGGTCGCAGGTGGGAGTTTGAGCTGCTGTCAAGCGCTTCAGGCGCCTGAGTATCTGGCTGAGTCGGGTGTCAGTATCAGGGCCAGCAATGGAAGGGGGAGGGGAGAGAGGCAGCCCAGACGAAAGCACGCTTCCTCCAGCTGAGGTTGGTTTCGCAAGGCTTGGGGGATGCGTCTGTCCACGGTCTGAGGTGGGTTCAGAGTCCCCACCACAGAGCAGCTGGACTGCGTGCCTTTGAGTGTCAGAAATCAAAGTTAGTAACATAGCCCGACCCTCCACATCAAGTTTGTAAAATCCGGGCTTTCGCAGTTTGTCCAAGAAAATCAAAGTACTGGTCTTTCCAAAGGCCTGAGGGGGAGGCGGGAAATGGGAAGGAGAAAAAGGGAATGAACAACAGTACCGGCCGGAGAGGCGGGGCCGCTGCCGCGGTTACCGGGGGCTTCTCTTCCTCCCTGGGTCTAGGGCTGGGGTGTTGCTCCAACAAGGGTTGCTGCCGCAGAAGAAAGCCCTCCTAGCTCAGTCGCATGTCGCTGGGGTCCTCCTGAGCAGCTGCTATAGTAGACGATTGTGTCTTAGACAAAGTTTACTTGCAGGAGCGTCTTGATTCCATCTTCTGGGAGAGGCGCTGGCCACCTTGCTTCAGGCTCCCTCCCTCTCCAGCGCTTTTGCACTTGGGTGGTCTGTCTCGCTCTCTCTTTCTGTCTCAGGTAGTGTATGAATGAGTGGGGAGAGAGAGAGTGAGTGTGTGGTTTGGGCAGTGTGAGTGTGGAGTGTGAGCAAGCAGGGATGGGAGGTTTAGGATCTTGGATGAATCCGCTCAGACAGAATGCCAAGGAGAGCAATGCGCCAAGGGCCCGCGTAGGGCTAAGGACTTGGGTGCCAGTGCCCCCTGGGTAAGCCGGGCTTGGTGCTCCGGAGCTTTGCTGTGATCTGCGCCCACTTGTCTGTCTCCCCAATGAGCCAGCCGCCGCCGCTACTGCTGCTGCTGCTACCCCTCGCGATGCCGCAAACTACTGGCGGTGGAGTCTGTGGAGAGCAGTAGAAAGCCGAAGCCTGCAGAGCCCGGCTACGCCAGGCTCTGACCAATCAGCGCACTGCCTAGCGAGCTCCGGGAATTGGGGCGGGGCTAAGGTGCAAGGGGGAGGGGGGCGGGGCCAGCTGGAAACTTACACAGTGGTTGGACCAAGTGGTACCCTGGCTGGCAGAGCCCAGGCAGGAGTCTTGGAAGGCCTGGTGGGTTAGCCTGGTAGGGGCCAGGGGGCAAGGTGGAGCGGGGCGTGCTACCGCTGCCGCTGAACCATCCCAGGAATCACAAGCGTCTTCTGTACAGATTGCAGGAGAAATAAGAGGATTTGATTCTCTCCGTGTTTTTATCTCCGTCACATATCTTCATATCTTGAATATCATACTCATATTTTCTCTCTCCCTCCCTCCCTCTCCCTTCCCCCGTTTCCTTTTCTCCCTCTTTGTCTCGGTGTCCTAGGTTTGTGCATTTCCCTGTTTTTCTTTCTTCTCCTTCTTGGGTTATTGAAGAAAAAAAAGGAAAGAGAAAGCTCCCTCAAAGGCGGTCCGTCCTCCCGCTTTTGGCCGGTGAGTCTTCAACTGAGAATCACGGCAGTCATCTTCCTGGACCGTCAACCACATCCCTTCTTCCTGGGAATACACAGCACTTCCCCCACCCACCTCAGCAGGACCTCTGGCCCGGTTCGGTTTGCTTTTGTCTGTCAGTTGTTAATCAGATACTATCGGTGTTACAGAGACAGAACCGCGGAGAGGGCTTCACACATTTCGTTAACCCTCACTCCACCCTGGGAGAATTTAGCTCCATATAAATAAACTGTATGTTTGAGAGGAGCTGGTAGAGCCGATGTTCCCGAGCCACACCAGTAGAGCTCAGAGCCCGGAGGGAGCTGCGGGTCTGGGCGCTGTCTGCGTAGGTCGCCCGCAGCTGGAGTTGGCATGGGTGTGCGTGGTGCCTCAGCCTTCCTGCGGGGCCTCAGTCTCAAGGGGCTGCCAGCTCCGCTTAGGAGGTGGTGGTGGGGGCGGCAACGGCAGGGTTTGCCAGTGCTGGGAAGCAGGAGGCCTGCGTGGCTCAGCTGATATCAAACTGCTCGCCTTTGGTACCGAAGGCGCTCTGGAGACAGACGGGGATTCCTCCCCGCCCGGTTCTTCCGCTCTTAATTAAGGCTGCTGGCGGGAAAAATTAAAAAACACCTGGTTGAACAAATTGTTTCCTTGTTTTTTAGATTGAGGGTGGAGGAGACCAGCTTCTGAATTCGCTTCTTAAAAGAGTAAACTTCCCTTAGATGTGACTCGCCTCATATATTTGGGACTCTTCCTTGAGCAAATTCATAATTAACACAGCGACATTGTCCCAAATCTGTGGGCTTAAAATGAGACTCACTTTGCCCTTAAAAAATAAACAAGAAAAGGAAAAGGGCACTTGGACACATTATACGTTTTCTCAAAACTGCCGTCTTCTTACAGATGCTTTAAAAAAAATTCTCCGTTCAAGAGGAGCTACTTTAGAGCCTTTACCTTGGCGCGGGTAGGGAAAGAGAGATTATTTCGGGAATGAGGTTGAGACCCCTTGAAGGCCCATCGAAGACCTAGGGGATGGCGCGGGGAGCGTAGTCTGCTTTCCACTTGGAGGTCACTTCACTCTAGGATGCAATTCAGTCCAGAATATCACGGAGCAAATCGAAGCATCTGCAGTGAATATTATTTAGTTTTAGTCAATTAGAGATGCGGATCAGAGTTGTGGCCTGATGGAGCGCCGTGGCCTGTACAGTTTTCTGCAGACCCCGTTGGGGAAAAAATGTGCAAGTAATGGAGGAAAGTGACAACATGTCAGGCAGCATGGGCGCCCCTCGCGAGCTTCGCAAAGAGAAGGGCTCCATTTGATTTATAGTAGTTACTTACCTTTGATGTCAGCGAGTGGGAATGAAGTCCATTTTGGGCTAATTAAAAAGGCCCAAGAAGGTGTTTGAAATGGGTTTGCTATCTGATCACGGGATGTGAGTCCGGCGTTTAGCAGCCTTCTAAAATATTGCTTGCGCCATTTAAACAGAACAATTAGCAGCGTGCTGAAATGTTTGCATGCTATGGTTAGAGGCTTTTAGCTGTAAACTTTAAGGCGATCTGTTCCCCTTTAAGTTAAAAAAGGATGATGTTGCTTCCTTGTGGGGAAGGCTGTCAGGAACCCGCTGATCAATAAAAGTAAACTGGCGCCTCCACGGCTTGATTGAGCGGGAGCAAAGAGTCTGAGAAGTAGTCTCGGCCATTAACAATCCCCCAGATAACGAGAAATGGAAGAATAACTCAGGTAAAATGATTAACATTGCAGTGGCATCTAAAGATAAGAAGGCTGCAGACCTCCTACCTTGGGGAGTGCTAATAGAATGTCTATATTCTACTGTCTTTTAAAGATAAATAGAATAATTCAATTCATGCACTCTGTTATTACCTTTGTAATAGCAATCACATTGTAAAGACACGTTCAGCATTTGCAAAGACAAACATGCTCTTTGCTAAAGACATGGAAGCAAGTTCCCTGCTCCTTGTTAGCTCTATTCACATTCGTGAGACCTCCTTTCCAGGCAGAGAGCATCCCAAGTACTTCCAGCTATACCAGACGGCTTTTATGGAAGGCAGGTATCCAGGTAGACAGGAGCACGTGCCTCTGCTTTCCTTCTATAACATCACCCCCACGATCAAAGTGTTAGTTACATCTCCCTCTAAAAAATAGCTATTCCACCCTCCCAGTCTGTCTACAGATATCCTAACACTATTCTCAGAATTTATTTTTAATAGGCACACTTGACCATTATATTCCAAGAATGTTATTAAGTGAGTGACTGAAAACACCTTCATGATCAGAAATTTGTTAATAGAATAAAACTGTTCTGTGTGTAGGTAATAAAAAATTTTAAAAGTTCTCAGTTTTAGCTTCTTTTTACTTCAGTCCTGAAGGGAGCCCTGCCTCCTCAGACTCTTCAGAGACACAAGAGGGACATCTAGTGACCATCTACAGTATTTTTTTAATCCAAACTTCACTAAGAAACACCAAGCCTTGGGTACCAACTACAGTGCTGTGAGGCCTGAGGTCTCTGGATCAAGGCAGCTCTTTGAGTCGCTGAGACCAGAAACGAAATGGTAAGGAGATGTGTTTTTATCTTGAAAATTTCAACCATGCCACAGAAATAATGTTGAATGGCAATGGAAGAAGACCAAAATGGGAATAAGGATAGGGAAAATAGTTTTATTCAAGATTGCCCTGGCTGTTATAGCTCAGTAGATTGAGCACAGCCCTGTGAAGCAAAGGGTCTCCTGTTCAATTTCTGGTCAGGGCACATGCCTGGGTTGTG